ATTTGCAGAATATTCAATGTACTGTATTTGAAAATTAGTTTATTGTCTGATTAAATTTTGACACGATGTTTAGCTAATTTGTAGTACAAAATTGCAAGTATTTTGTATGTAAGGTATATTTTATTACTATGAAGGCATGTGTACGTAGATTATTATTGTTAAACCATATTTGATACTTTATGATTATGTTAATTCTTATTGTTTAATGTTTTGTGGTACATGTTCAATTATGTTATCCAAGTGGGAGTGTTTAAAATCCTTGGAATGTGGGGGTATTAAAATTTCAAATATATGTACTACATCCTTGATTATTCATTATTATCATGAAACCGACATTTTAAGCAAAGTGTACAGATTGAAGTTGAAGATTATAGGTAAAGTAAAAGAGCTCAGTGGATGTATTTGTCCAACCACGATACTAAAAGTTAATATAAAAATTTTATGAAGTTATCTTATAATAATTAAATATGAGATATGAAATTTTTAAAAATGTTCTTAGGTTACAACTCGAACTCAAAAAAGTTTATTTTATTACTTAAATGTGACATGTGCACTTGCGGTTTAATCAAAAAGCTGATTTACATCAATACTTGGGGGACTAGAGGACATGATTGATCCTATGGAGAGTAGAATGGATGGCTTCATAAGTTTTGGAACTAAATTTTCCATTTGAAGAGTTTTGGGCCCAAAAAGAGATGAAATAAAAACTTTGAAGACTAAAATGAACATTTCCATAATTGGAATAACCAAAGTTAAATACATCAAAAGTTGAATGACTAAATTGGATGAATTTAAAAGTTGAAGGATCGATTGGGAGATATTCAAAAGAAAGACCTAAATTGATAAAACTGAAACTTGGAGAACTAAAATGCAAAAGTATGAAAGTTAAGGAATTGAAATCGTAATATAGGGGCATGGGACACATAAGAGTCACATGACCTAAACATGTGACCCTAGCTGTGTCCGGTCAAATCAAGTTTAGGTCTTTTCAGGGCTTGTCCTAAGATTTTGGATGACCTGTGTGATATTTTAAAATAGTGACTCTTTCATGGAATTAAAAACTATATTAAGAAAAGAAAAATAAGTACCAATAATAATATTTCATTGCAGAAATAGGACATTTACAAATTTGTTTATTTTTTTACATGACCTGAATAAGAAAAGTAAAATTAAAGTTCAAAAGCAGCACCTGAACTCAATCAAAATTCATATGTCATCAACAAAGAGGCGTCCAAGTCACTAACCTCTTCGTGTCATTTCATATGAGCAAACCTAAAATCAAAAGCAGCAAATGCCATATGTAAACTTTGAAATGTAACAAATTATGTAAAAATATTCTTTATCGCATTTTTAAAATTAAACTCACTAATTAAATTTTGGTAATCAATATTTTTATCAAATCTTTTTCAATAGATATCATAGTTAGCACATTCAATCGTTCTTGTAATATGGTTGATCGCAAACAAGATTTTAATATCTTTAAACTTGAGAAACTTTTTTCAACAAGTGCAACGGTAATAGGAAATGTCAACAGTATTCTAGAACCAAGAAATGTATTCGAAAAGCAATCTAATCTTTTCAAATAAGTTACTATATCAAAGTTATCTTTGTTTCTTTTGGTAAAAAGATTTCGAAATTTTTAACTTTTGAAACAAATCTTCAACATGAACGATGAGTGTATCTCATTCATAATTTTGATACTACTTGAACTTGATATTTAATTTATCTTAAGAGTTTTAGAAACGTTTTGATTTGTGTTTTCATGTTGTGTTATAGGTTAGGTGACATGGTGATCAAAGATCAATTCATAGAGCTAGAAGGAGCCAATGAGTGACAACATGAATCGAGGAGAGAATAGGTCTTGGAAGCATGCAAAGAGAGCAAGGAAAGAGGCCAATATGGCAACAGAAGAGGAAAAAATAAGCAGCAACGCAGCATCTAGGCGCTACTCAACCATGCCATGAAACATAAAACTAGCAAGGAGTTGGAGCCAAGGATCCTTTATACTATCGCCATGGCTACCAGAAAAGAACAGAATTGTGATGTCCAGGCACCCAACAGGCAGAGCCTAGGTGCCACTCGGGACAGAGAAGGAGCAAACTTCAAGGTGGTTTACCACTAGCGCACAAGCGCCAGCCTAAAAATTGTTGTAGCGCCCAAGTGCCACATTTATAGCACTTAGGCATCGTGCGCGTGAAAATTAGGTTATTATTTGTTCGAAAAAGGCCCAAAAATATCCTAACTCGAGGCGGGCATTAAAGGAGTCATAAATACGGCAAAGAATGAGTTTTTCATCTATACTTCAACGAGACAAATCAAGACATCAAGTAATTGAGTGAAAGGAATGGCGAGAAGAAGATTATCCAAACTTCAAAAACGGTTTTTATCTCTTTTCTTCTTTATGCTTATGATTATGAATTCTAGATTTTCTTATTCTCCAATCATTAACTAAGTTACTCATCTAGGGGATTGATATAATCCAAACTTGAAATGATGTTTTGATTTTTAACATTTAATTCTTTGAGGTTGTCTTTTAAAGTTTATTTTTATTGTTTATTTTTAATGCTTTAAATTAACTGGCCATTAATTAATTGATTTGATTTAAGTTTCTCATTCTAGAGAGGGAACCTTAGGCGTGATTATAGAATAACACAACCTAGGATATTATATGTTTCAAGAAAAAGTATAATTCCTTTGAAGCGTTTTCATGAAGTACCATAGAACTTTATAATTCTTAGATTTTTTTTTATTTTTTTTTTGGAATAGAGATATTGGAATTGGAATTTATGAAAGATTTTCACTCAATACTTGAGAGAGGGAGTAGAAATATATTATGGTTCTTGCTTATAAACTTGAATTACCAATTGAAGATAAATATTGAATTAATAGACATAGTTAATAGTTGGATGAAATCGAAACCCTAGGCTTTTCTCATATAGATTTAATCATTAAAAATCGTCATTAAATCATTGATTCAGTCAGCCTTTCACCTTGTATTTGGTTAAGTATATTGAAACTATTAATTTGATCGTCTGGACAAACTAAGGGCTATTTTAATTATATTACTTAGTAGAAACTTAATTATCAATCCATGTGGATTCGACATCATAATTTCACCGTTATATTATAAAACTTGAAATTGTGCGCTTGCGGCATAATATGTAGCTAACATGTTTTGGATGCCATTGTCGGAGATTGATTGATTTTAATTTTACTAATATTGCTGCCAATTAGGCTTGATTTTAATTTAGATTTATTTTATTTTATTTTTTTACTTTTAATTGTTTGGTTGTTGGTGTTTCATTTGTTTTTGTGAAAAGATCTTAAGATCAAAAGAACATTTCAAAGAATAAGGATCATAAGAAGAAATGAAATTGAAGCAACGGCAGCAAACGAAAATCAATAACAACGAACGATTCGAGGTTAAATTTGACCAGTTGTCAATAACAACTATTCTAGTATTATGTACCAAATTATTGCTATAGACAACTCTGAACTGAAGCTTGGATTGATTACCATGTGCAATAGAATCAATTTAGAGGAACCCCATTAGAATATGCAAATGCTCATCTAGCTACCTTTTTGGAGATTGGTGACATTGTGAAGATGAATAATATTACTGAAGATGAAATTAGACTGCATTTGTTTTTTTCTCCTTGAGGGATAAAGCAAAGGGATGGCCTCAATCATTACAGTCTAATTCTATTACCGCTTGGGAGGGAAGGCTTAGGATTTCCTTATCAAAAATGTTTTACCTTCTAAGTCTGCTCAATTGTGGAGTGAGATTGAGCAATTTGAAAAAACTTACTTCAAACCATTTTATTAGCTTCGGGAGAGATTCAAAGTTTACTTAGAAGATGACCTCGGCATGGTTATTAGAATTGGATGCAGATTAAGATATTTTACAATGGGTTGAATGGTAAGACACGAACAATAATTGATGCTGCTGCAAGTGTACATTGATGTCTAAAACCGTAGATGATGCTTATTCTTTGCTGGTGAAATGGCCACCAACGGTTATCAATGGTCAAGTGTATGTTTAAGTGTGAAAAGAGTTGCTGGTCTATATGAAGTGGATCCCGAATATGCTCTTACAAATCAAATCTCATCGTTCACCACCTAAATAGCTACATTGACTACACAGGAAACACAACAAAAGGTAAATTCGACTACGGCTGCTTCTACACAACACCAAGAGACTAATATAGTGGATTAGGATGAGAAATAGTATTTTGACTTTGTTTTTTAGACATTATATTGGTATTTCATATCATTTTGGATGAATGTAGATGCTTTCCATAGTTGCTTTGCTATATTAAGTTTAGATGTTTTGTGATATTAAGCCCCGTTTGGCTCCCATTAATTTTCATTCCATTACATTTCATTTCATTTTTCTCATTCCTATTTTCAATCATACAATCTTCTATAAAATTATATCACATGTAAATGGAAAACTTTTCCTTTTTTTTTAACCACTCATTTTTCAAAAAAAACACTATTCTATCCATTTTCATTACGACAAAATGGGAGCCAAACGGAGGCTAAAGTTGTTGGTGTTTTGATTAACATTGATGTTGCATCTTAATCTAGCTAGCCTGATTATGATATTATATCTCAATTGCGATATTTCCTTAAATGTTTCACATGCTTTTACCCTCGGTATTTGAATTGTTGATTTCAAAATAGGTTTAACAAGGAAAACTAGTTACAGTTTTGAAAGCCCAAGAACAACTAACAAAGAGGAGGGTAAATTGATTATTTAAAATTTTTTCAAAAACAAATGCAAATTCAATCAATTAACAAACAAGATAATGAGCAAATACCAAAATAACAAGAGGAAGGAAAAAGAGTGTGGAAACGATATGTTATGGATGTTCAATCCAAAACAATGATTTACGTCTCCCGTTACAAAATTCTCTGTCACAAGCAAGGCTTTTTCCACTATTGTTAATTGACTTATAATGGTGACTTACAACCAAAGAGCATCGATCATNATTACCAACACATAATAAATAAATAAGCACAAAATGCTACAGTAACATGAAATTCCAATTCTCGCCAAATTGGTCTTCCTTAAAAACCAAGAAAAGATCAATTCCAAGCAAGAAAAGGTAATCCCATGGAAATAAAACCCAATCAAACACCATAAAATTGAAAAATGGAAATATTTTCCATGAAAAAAATTCACATATCAAACGGACCCTAACTGTATAATTGAAAGTTACCTGGATCTTGGGAATGACCCTTGAGTTGAAAACCCAAGTGAAGTAATAGGCAAAATTTCTAAGTCCCAATCCTTCTCAATGGAGGGATATCTGTTCAAAAACTTGTAATAAATCTCATACGTTGCTGCTGCTCCAATTAACCACAATCTCCCAGCATGAATCTGCAGCAGCCTCCCCAATTCACGCACTACATGCCTTAAAGCATCAACACAAACACCCTCTTTAGCCAATGCCTTCAAATCACCAACATTTACAACCACCCCACTTCCTACATTATTCTGCACCATTTTTTCCACCTCCTCGAACCTCAATTTCATTAGTTTTTCATTAGAGTCCCCATTCACAAAACTCAATACCTCATCTTCAACACAAATCACATTCAACCGAATTAATCTCCCAGGTAAAACACCTTCAACCTTTTTTTGAACAGTTTCCAAGAAATTCCATAAAGCGTCACTAGCTGAAACCCCCAATAGCAGTGGATTCTTTTTCTTATCCCTGACCATGATCTCTCCAATTCTCTTTGAATTCTCTTCCCCAGGAAACCCACCCATAAAAGGAAAGCTGAAACCTTTACGAGTCATACTTTCGTCATTAGAACTATCGCTAGCGTTGAAATTACACAAAAATAAAGGTGGTTGTGGCCGTTTATACCTTGACGAATAACCAAACAGATGGTGGCCATGGAAACTGTTTATTGGCCTAAGTGTAGCTATCTTTATATCACAACTCCGGAACCCCGCCTCACCGAAAACTCTACTCACCAAAGGGTCATCAAGAATTGATATAATCAAGTTCCGGAGCTCGACTTTCACCACCGGAACAGAAGAACATGATGAATACTGCTGCTGATAGAAGCTGAAGTTTTCAGGCTGCCTTCTTTGATTCGCTTGCGATCTTTTTACGGCTGCCATAAGAGAATTCGACACTGGCGGTTCCTCTACTTTGTTCGCTCGTGAAGAGGGTAGGCGGTCCAAAGACACGCTCAGTGAAAGGTCAAGAGCCTTAAGCTGCACGCGAGTGGAGTATGCGTTGTTGCGGGTGCGGGTGCGGGTGCATGCTTCACGTAAAGATGAATTTGGGATGGATAGGAGCGAGGACACCATGTGCAACGACGTCGTCTGCGCGTGCCCCCGTCGCCGTGCGACTGCCACAGCCTCGTCGAGAGTGGCCACAGCCTCCTGTGTTAAGCATGCCCTGGCTGCACTAACCGGCGTCGGCATGCCGGAAAATCTTGGACTGCAAGGATAATGATAGTATGACGCGTCAAAAGGAAGAAAATTAATCGACTAGCCTACCAAAATTCTAATGTATAACAACAGCGTACAGTGTTGTTATCAAGATTTTGATAGCTTATTACAGTGACCATATTCTTTTAACATTATATTATTGTCGTGAGAGGTTGAGAAGGAGCTTTTGAATGATTTGGGCTTTTCAATTATTTATTGAGGAAAGGTAGGATGGTGGGGTAGGGGTAGGCATAGACGTAGGGGTAGGGGTAGGCATAGGGGTTGGAGCAGGGAGTTAATTGTCAGTGGATTGAACTGCTATTAGTTGCAAACTACACCATTGATGGTGGTGGATTTTGTTGAGTGTGTGTGACTTATTCGTGGGGTCCAAGGTATTTTGTGAGAACGGTATAGATTCTTACATAAATTTGAGATTATTGTATTGTTAGCATAATCAATTTTCCTATTCATTCTCTCATACTCAGACATACTCTCGTCTTTCTCAAAGGTTGAACCCCAATCTTAA